AGAGACATTTTCAAAGCAAAAATAGTACTGCATGCTCAGAGCTGCTCCGGTTCATCGCAGGACAGGTCTTTCTGTGTCATTCACTTCTACGTGGGGAAAACTTGATTAAAGGTTGCTGCTTTGAGTGGGAATTTGTGGCACTGAGAGTTCAGTAGAGGCAGGTAAGATTTGAAAGTGACACTGCTCAGCAAAAGCACATTTCAGGATTCTGTCTGGTCCTTGTCCTGCTGGGTCACACATTAGAAATAAATAAACAGGGCTATTTTTTTTTTTACTCTTATGAATGTGAGCTTGATTTCCAGTGACTTTAGAAAGCTTTGCCCAGAACTGGTTTTATTTGAGGATAGCCAGCCAAAACCCGAGAGTGATGTGAGTTTAGTTCTGAGCAGTAAAGGCAGGATTGATACTGGAGCGCTGGTTCTTGCCCATCACTGATGAATAGTTGGGTTTGTCCTCTGGCTGCAGGCCTCCCCCAGAACATCGCGTTGGAGTGCAGGCAGAACCATCCCATGCCTGTTGCCACCACTGATAAGCAGCAGCAGAACAAATTGTGCCTGGCTTTGCTGTTCTGCTTCCAGGTCAGCGTATCCAGCTGTGTGCTTGGGGAGAGGTTCTGCCCTAAAGACTTCAGGAGCAGAGACTGTCTGTGAATTGGTGCTTGTGCTTGGCATGTTCCAGTTACCAGCAGGAGCTTTTGAAGTCACCATGCCAGCTCTGTTTAGGATATGTTTAAAACAAATCGTATTTGATTGGTACAAGAAAGAAAATAGACTAACAAAAGCCCCGAGACAAATAAAACCTTCCCATTGTAGTCCTCAGCATTCATCAAAAGGAAACAATCCCCTGAAACGTAATTAATTTGCAATATGTAGATTCCTGCTAGCATTTGCTGTTGTTGCACTCATTAACCTTCCTGCATCCCTCCCCCCCGGTGCCATCAGGCCTCGCTGCAGCCAGCCTACATTGCCTGTCCTGAAAGCAGAGGCCGAATCATAGAATCGTTTGGGTTGAAAGGGACCTTTAAAGGCCGTCACTCTGACTCCTCTGCAGCCAACAGGGATGTGTACAACTCGATCAGATGGCTCAGAGTCCAGCCCAAAAGGAGGTCAGATGCCTACAAGTGATAAATCAGAGTACAAAACATTAACAGTGAAGCAGTGTTGGAGGGAATAGCACTTAAATCCTCTATTTTTCTTCTGAAGAAGAACGCGCTTCACAGAAGGAGACAATTCTGTCCTTTCTGCCATCTGGCTGTTGGCTTTAACCAAGTTGTCTTTGTGTGTTTGGAGGGGATGTGCTTGAGGTCTGTCACACATGGAACTGCTCTTGTGTCAAAGCAGATGCAAACAGCCCCAGTCTCAGGTGAGCATTGCACTGCCAGCAGCTGTGTGAGTTGGGTTTGTAGCAGCAGTAGGTTTATCTTCTAGCACCAACCATTCAGCTCCTGCACAAACAGGCAGCAGCCTGCAAGCAGTGCCTGCTTGCCCTGGCACACAAGTGCAATTCTTTCTGCATCACAGGAAGCCATCTGTGCACCCCAGTGAGGTGAGGAGCAGCACTGACTCCTGGGTGCCTCATGCTGTGCTGGTGGTTGGTGTCACCTCAGTGCTGGTGCAGGGACAGACTGCACTGTAGGTCCCACTTGGCTGATGTCTCCTTTTGTCTGTACCAAGATTAGTCAAAGCCTTAAAATATCAGATCCCAACAGGTATTACTCCAGATACATTGGCCCAAATTAATTGAGGGCAGAGTCTGTTGATGCCACACTACTGAGAAGTGTCCTCTCCACGTGAATCCAGCTGTAGGCAGCAGGGGCATGGATTGCACCGAGATTTGTGTATGAGCTCAGTCCCTGCTGGTGTTTCTTAGGGATTCCCAAGGCTTCAGGGCCTGCAGGGGAAGGAGGAGCTCCTGGACTTCAGCCTGCAGCCAGCGCAGACCTCATGGTGCTCCTGAGCACCAGAGCGTGGCCAGAATGAGAGCAAGGTCACGGCTGGAGACATTGCTGCTCTCTCACACAAAGGCAAGTAGCAAGCAGTCTTCAGTAGGAGCTGAGTAACTTTATCAGTAATTAAGTGTCCTAATTACTACACTATTAGTGCATTTGTTTCCTTCAGCATAAAGCAGCTTGCATGTACTGCAACAAGGCGAGGAGCCAGCAGCTCTGGAAAGCAGAGAGCAGGGGCTGCGTTGTGCTGAGCATCCTGCAGCCTGGGAACATGGGATGGGATGGGATGGGATGGGATGGGATGGGATGGGATGGGATGGGATGGGATGCACAGGAAAGCCACCTCTGGAAGTTCTGCACCAGGGAACAGCTGTGTCAGAACAGCTCAGCACAGAGCTGTGCTCTTGGAATTAAAATCCCAAGGTGAAATGTGCCATTGCTCAAATGCTGCTCTGCTACCCTGCTCCTCCAGGCCCCATTGCTTACAGCTTCGCATCAGAGAACCCTCAGCTCCTCCTCACCACCTCCTCAGCAAAGCTATGGGGGTGGCAGGGAGGTGTTATTCTTGGCAACACTCCCCACTCCCCTTCTCTTTTTGATGTTGAACTGCTCATTTCAGATTTTGAGTCACAATATTTCTCCAAGCAAAAAGAGTACAAGTTTGGAAAAAATCCAGCTTAGTCCTTCAAACTTCTTTGTGGTCTCTCCAGCTCACAGCAGAAGAAGCTCCAACCCCTGCTGGCACTGGGGCACAGGGTGACACGGATTCACAGGGTCCCACCCTGACCATGGAGTGTGTGTGGAGCAGGAGGGAGTGAAGGGCTTGCGAGAAGCGAGCAGCGGGAGCAGAGCAGAAACCCCATCCCTACACTGTGGGTGTGTGGGGTTCATAGAGCTGTTAAGGTTGGAAATGACCTCTTAGGTCATTAAGTCCAACTGCCGAGCCCTGCCCATGTGCCCACCAGCCATGTCTCTCAGTGCCACATATCCACATTTCTTGGACACCTCCGGGGATGGACGGCCTGTCATGGATGGAATGAAAGGGAATATAAATGTAATTTAGACTCTTTGAGTTGTTTTGATTCCATACACAGCAGGAAGCAGAGCTCCACATCACTCTCAGCTTGGGGAATTCCCATTTGCCCCCGACTGGATGTGGCCAGGTGCTGGACCTGGGCAGTGCCTTGCTGGGTGCTGTCTCTCTGCAGCCCAAACCGTGCTCCGAGCAGCTGAACAGGGGACAGGAGAATTCCTGCAAGAGCTGTGAACTGCACTACCTTTTTTTTTTTTTTCCCGACTAAAAATACTTCCAACAAAGCATCAAAGCTCCTTGAAATAGTCCATCTCCAGCAGCAGGATCCAACTTTGGGCTCCCGGCAGCCACGTGTTCGCCTTAAAGGGCAGCAGTTAGAGTGAGGCGGCTCTGGGAGCCAGAGGGAGGAGGGGTGGGCCTGAAGGACCCCGCTGTGCTCAAAGGAACGCTGCCCCAGGGGAGGTCCAGCAGTGCCCAGTGCCCCCAGCGCCTGCTCTGAGCATCCTCATAGGCAGCGCTGTGGGTGCCTGAGCTCCTCCTGCTCTCTGAGGCTGCACAGAGCATCCTGAAAGCTTTCTTTTCTCTTCGTATTCGCTCCCCCCTCCCCTTTCCCCAAGCGCGTTTAATCATTCACAGGTTAGTCATATTCCTAAGAAAAGAAAACGCAGTGTGACGGTGAGCGACAGCTCCTGGAGAACTGCTGCTAATTATAGCCTGGCCCCAAAAGAATACCACAGGGTTTGGGGGGGTCCACATTTGGTTGGGATCCCCGCATCCTGCATTGGTGAGCAGAGCCCTTCTGCTCATAGGAGACCCCTTAAAAACTCAGAAATCATCCCACTGCTGTGCTGTGTGCGCTTGTTGGGTTGGTGCTAATCATCTGTTACCACTATTAATTTCCTTAATGGTTTACCTCTCTCCCTGCACAGCCCCAGAGCTCCCTATCACTTGGTGCACCGTGCTAAAGTTGCAGCAGTTGCTGATGGGATGGCACAAAACAAGAGGAGGAGGAAAATCGTGCAAAAGCCTTTTTTTCCTAGGAAAACAGTTTTGCCCCTTGTTCATGGCTGTCCCTGTGCAGGTACCACAGGCAGAGCGCTCTGGGGGCTGCAGGTGGCCACCAAGCACCATCCCAAAGGCAGAGGGGTTTTCCCATCTCCTGGGACTGACAGCACTATAGGGTGAGGAGCCTTCTGCAGCACTGCCAATGAGAACTCACCTGCTGCGGGGGACAGCAAACGCCCGTGGGACACAAAGGCGGCATGGCTGGGATCCCAGCGGTGCCGCCAGATGGATTGTGCCCTCCTATGGCTGGGGCGGCTGCATCCTCCCTTGGGAGCACAGCTGGCGTCCCCAGATAGGACCATGTACATGAGCACAGGATGTGTCCCCACATAGGACCATGTATGCGATGCATCCCCATGGAGGGCCACAAGGGCTGCGTCCCCAGGTAGGAGTGTACATGTGATGCGCTCCTAAGCAGGACCACGTGTGGGATGCGACACCGTGCATGCGGGGTGTCCCCGGATAGGACCGCACACAGGCTATGCCCCCAAGTAGAACCACGCACGTGATGTGCCCCCAGGGAAGCTTCGGGCTGGCTCGGGACCCGAAGGACACCGCGTGGCTGGTGCCTGCCCAGAGACCCACCTGCACGGGGTGATCTCTGCAGGTGAGAGCGCAGGAGGAGCTGACAGAGGGACCAGGAGGCCGCGTCCGAGCGCTGTGGGGTTTGGGGTGAGATTCCTGCCCGCTGCGGGGCTGCTCGACGCCCCCCACCCGGCCCTCCCCACTGCCAGACCCGCACCGCGTGCTCCCCGCGGAGTCCCCCAGCCCCGGCCTCGCCCCACACCCCGCCGATCCGGTCCGGTCTGCAGCTGAGTTTGCGGGCCGGGGGCTTTACGAAACCGGCATGGAGTGCTTGGCTGGGGGGCAGAGGCCTCCGAGACTCCCCCGCATGCGGGAGAGCGGAGTCCGCGTTCGGAGGATCAGCATCCCTTTGTGAATGACGGAGCCGGAACAACCGCGGTGCCTTTGGGATTTCTGTCCCTGCGGGGGGGCACGGACCGCACCGCGCCGGCTCAGCCCCCACCCCCAAAAGCTCCGGCGGCACAAAAGGCGGCGGCGGCGGCCCCGACCTTGTGCCGGGGGAGGGGGTCGGGGGGGGGCGGATGCGGAGCCCCCGCGCCGCGTGCTCTGCGGAGCGGCCCGGCCTCGTTGTTATTCCGAGCACAGCGGCTCTGATTCACAGCGCTGGATCATGAATATAAGTGAAGACTTTGACGTCAGAGTTGAGATTTATCAGCAGATCCAATGGGGCAGGAATATTAAGTGCCGGTGGATGCCAGCGAGCCGCCACCGCCGCTATTGGCGACGTTCGCCGAGGAATGAGGCGTAGCACCGCGGGCTGCGGGCACCGGGAGGGGAAAACCTGAAAACGGGGGCGAGCGGCCGCTCCCCGGGCACGGAGAGAGGTACGGGCAGGGGGCGCGGGCAGGGGGGAGGGGGGAGCAGCGGGCATCGCCCTGCGGCAGTGCGGGGAGGAGAGGGAAAAGTTGGGGCGGCCGTACCCGGCGTTGCCACGCCGCATCCCCGCGGGGGCGACCGAAAATAACGACCCGAGGGCTGCGGGGAGCGGGGGGGGGCAGGGGCGGTTCTGTGCTCGGAACGGGCGGCAGAAGGTGGCCGTGCAGCGGGGGGGCTGCGGGGCGGCGGCGGGTGCGGGGCCGAGGGGCTGCGGCGAAGGGGGAGGGGGAAGGGTTCGGCTTTGCGCCCCGTCCCGCACCGCTGGCTCAGCGCTCCCCTCTCGCTCTCTCCCCAGCGATGCTGCACGGCCCCGCCGCCATGGGAGAGCCCTGGCAGCCGCAGTCCCAGCAGCAGCGGCTCCCGGCTCTCGGCAACGCCTCGGCCCCCAGCGCCCGGCCCTCGGCGGCGGCGGAGGAGGGGGGGGGCCCCGCGGGCACGGCGGCCCCGGGAGGCGGGGGCCCGGCGGCGGCGGTCAGCCCTTGGGACATCGCTCTGTGCGCCACGGGGACGGCGGTGGCCGGCGAGAACGCGCTGGTGCTGGCGGTGCTGTTCTATACGCCCAGCCTGCGGGCGCCCAGCTTCGTGCTGATCGGCAGCCTGGCGCTGGCCGACCTGCTGGCCGGACTGGGGCTGGTGGGCAACTTCGCCGTGCGCTACCTGCTGCGGCCGCCCAGCGAGGCGGCGGAGCTGGGGGCGGCGGGGCTGCTGCTGGCCGCCTTCTCGGCTTCGGTGTGCAGCCTGCTGGCCATCACGGTGGACCGCTACCTGTCGCTGTACAACGCGCTGACGTACCACAGCGAGCGCACGCTGGGCTTCACGTGCGGCGCGGTGCTGCTGATGTGGCTGCTGTGCCTGGGCGTGGGGCTGCTGCCTCCGCTGGGCTGGCATTGCCTGCGGGACCAGAGCGCCTGCAGCGTGCTGCGGCCCGTCACCAAGGACAACGCGGCCGTGCTGGCCGTCACCTTCCTGCTGCTCTTCGCCCTCATGATGCAGCTCTACCTGCAGATCTGCAAGATCGCCTTCCGGCACGCGCAGCAGATCGCCGTGCAGCACCAGTTCATCGCCACGGCGCAGGCCACCTCCACCCGCAAAGGGCTCTCCACGCTGTCCCTCATCCTCGGCACCTTCGCTCTCTGCTGGATCCCCTTCGCCATCTACTCGCTGGTGGCCGACTCCAGCTACCCCGCCGTGTACACCTACTCCCTGGCGCTGCCCGCCGCCTGCAACTCCCTCATCAACCCCATCATCTACGCCTTCCGCAACCCCGACATCCAGAAGTCGCTTTGGTTGGCGTGCTGCGGTTGCGGCCCCGCGCTCTCCTCCCGCCCGCGGACATCCAGCGACGTGTGAGAGCCTCCTCCCCTCTCCTCTTCCTCGTCCACCTCCCCGCGCTCCTCTCCCCTCCGCCGTCCGCGTTTCCCACCTGGAGGATCCCCCGCCCCGGGAGAGCCAATGGGCAAAGGGGAAAATAGGGAAAAAAATAGAAAAAATAAGGGAGTGGGGGGATTTGGGGGGAGGAGAAAGAGAGAGAAAGGAATGCCGATGGTTTCCTTAGAAATGTTATTTTCGTACACATTTTATTTTTTATTTAAAAACACAAAACGGCAAAAAAAAAAAAAAAAAAAAAAAAAGGGGGAGGGGGGGGGGAGGGGAGTGGGAGAAGGAAAGGAAGGGAGGTCGGGCACTGCGATTGTCCCATCCTGATGTAAGGGAGGCTGACCCCGAGTACGGGGTCTCGGGGCGGGGGCCCACGGTCAGGTGATGCTCTGCTATGCAATAACGGGGGCGACTCCGGAGAAGCACAGGGAGCCGGGGGAGTGGGGCAGATTGGGCGGGGTGGGACAAAAGACCTTTAGGGAACGGCCGTTCGTTTCATAGGGGTGCTGACTGGGGAATCGTCCACTCCTTCCCCCGCCCCCGCCCCAAAAAAAGGTGGGCTGCAGGGAGGGGCTGCCCTTTCCCCGTACACGGGGAGTATCGCATCCCGAAGGGATCCGGGCTGTCTGAGACCCCGCAGGGCGGCCCGCACCGCCTCCGCACAGCTCCGGCCGCTCCCGACGGCGCTGCGGTGCCCGCACGCAATGCCGCATCGCGCGGCGGCGGCGCGGAGCCGTGACCGGGCGTCCCTCGGCAGCTTCGGGCCGGGGGGGGCACGGCGCACCGCTCCGCCGCCGCCACGGATCCGCGTCGCTCCGCTGAGTGCGGAGCCCCGGGGCTGTGCGTGGGGCTCCGCTCTCAGGGCCGCGTGCGCGAAAGCTGCGGGGGTGCGGGGTGGGGAAAGCCGCGGACGCTTGAGCTCGTTTGCTGCCTTTTGAAAGTGGCCGATCTCCGTTCTTCGTTTCCTTTTTTCAAAACCTCTGGCAACGGGCAGTCGGCACAACGTTGAATCAGCGTACACAGAGAAGTGAATATATATATTTATATAGAGATATATCGAAGTCATCTATACGTGTGGACACCTTTCCCTGCTCATTGTCCCCTCCCCCAGTTGCTGTGACGGCAGCCGGGTCCCTGCAGTGTCACACCTCCCGGCACAGTCAGGTTCGGCCATTTTTGAAGCATCGTGAACACTTTTGGGATGTTTTTATACAGCCGGACCCAGAGGGCAGTGTTGGTGTCTCTGGGCGACCCATCGCTTGTTTTGTACTTCGAATGAAATGTAGCCCTGACTTACTGGCTCTGGGTACACCTCGGTGTGACAGAAATGGCATTTTCTTGGATTTCCTGCACGCATCAGTGGTGACAGGGGATGGTGAGCACAAAGCTGCAAGCAACGCAGCAGGGGACTGGCCACTGCTTTCAGCGTGCTGGCACTGAACACAGAGCCAAAGCCCCTCCAGTAGTGCCACAAATCCCCAGAAATGCTGATGGTCATAGAAGCCACTGGTGTAATTCTTGTGCTTTTCAGAGGAGTTGCCACGGGCTTTGCAGAGCACAAAGGCTTCGGCTGGCAGAGGTCAGTGTGTGTCCTCCAGACCCCCGTCCCTGCCTCATGCTGCCGTTGCACCTCTGCAAATATTTGCAGAGAGCTTCTGCTGGAGGATGCATGGCCAGGGCCTCACTTAGACTCGCACTGTTTCTGGGCTTTGTGGGACCTAGCTGGGATTGACAGCAGCAGAAGCAAGCAGAACATAGGTCTTTTCCAATGGAAGATTGGTGAGAAGTAGCCAGCAGGTTGGGTCTTTTTGACCAGGTTCTTTCAGTGGCCAGCAGAAGGTTTCGGTCCAATTTGTTCATTGTGAACTTTGCGTAATAAGAAATCATTCCTGTTCTCAGTAGGTGAAGAAGTACCTCTTTCTTGTAGAAACATCAGATGTGGGGGGGCTGGAGGGGCGTTGATCTTGATAATCATTTGTATTGACGTGTATTGACCAGCATCAGGTGTTCACGTAATTGTTAACAACTAATCACACTACTTAAAATTAAGAGGAATAACTGTTTGATGCACATGGGATTTCCTTGCAACTCCTCTCTTTCGTGCTCGGCTCTTTTTTGGGGTGAGGTGGTCATGCTCACAGCTCCATCTCTACCACTCGTACCATTTCTGTTAAAAGTGCCGTTGGTTTTTGCAGCATCACCCAACAACTGCCCTTCTCCTGTTCCTGCCACCCCCAGAATGGAGTTTTCCCACCCCGTTGGGAACTTTTGCAATGCTGAGCATTGCAGAGATAAAGCAGGTTCCAGTAGAGATGACCCACACCAGAACTCTTCTGCCCTCGCCTTTGAGGGATGCAAACAAGTAGACTCCAGCTCTGAGCCCACCAATGGATTTGCCCATTGGCCAACCTATCAGTGTAGGGTACAATGACTGCGATACAGAAAATGGTCCTGAGATGAACAGAAAAATGTTGTCTTGAAACTGCATAGGACAGGATGCTGCGAAGGCTGAGGATGATGGTAGTTGCCTTTATAAGTTCTGCTTGATGTCAAGCATAACTGTCCAAACCAAGGTTGCTCCTTCCCTCTTTCTCCCTCTCTCATCATACCTGCTTCCCCAGGAAAGAGGACATTCCAGAGCAATCAGAACATTCTGATGTAATTGTTCTCATTAGCCTTTTAGCTTGACCGAGAAAGGTGATCTCAAAGGAAAATGTCCAGTTACCATTCGGTCATGGTAAAACCAAGCCCCTACGATGCACTTTATGAGCGAGTGAAAACAAATCAATGCTGTTATTGCACTGTATCTCTATTGTGTATAATATTATACATTCATCTGTAAGAGTAATTTATTTTTATTACTGTAAATAAAACTGTTTAAGTGGTTTGTCAAGAGGCTATCCAAAAATGGAGGGTAAAATTAAAACGTTTGAAGACCTGGGCTCCTGCCCCAGGCATGTGCCATGCTGGTGTCTGTGTCTTCATTCAGCTGAACTGAGCCTGGTACAGGCCCACACTTTCCCCAGCAAGATAATTTGGGGCAAACTAGGAGGGCTTGAGGCAAACTGAGTGCCTCTGGGTCAATTATCCCTTCGGGGCTTCGGCAATGCCTCCAGGATGGCAGCTTCTCCCACAGAAAGCACTTCTCTGCTGTCTAATTACCCAGCGGGTCAGGGATTACATCGCCATGGGAATTAATTGGTCTTTGAGAGCTGCTTTCTCTACAATAAGGGTTACAGCGCTATCAGCTTTGCGCTGCTCCTTCTGCCCCCGGCTCTAATAGAGATCTGCACATCACGGTGCTGCCAACGGCGAGGGCGAGCTGACAAGAAGCCGAAATGAGATATACTCGAACCTCTTAAAATCTTTATTGGACTCTATTTTTTATTAGCACATGCATAAAGTGTCAACAGTTGGGGATTATGTCGGACGACGGTTTTCACAGACCAGTCACAAGCGGTGCTCCGGCTCTTGGCGGGCTCCATCCTTCCCCCCATCCCTCCTGGTGCCGGGCAGAGCACCCAGCGCTGCGATACACGTGGTCACACGTAGCGACTGGGGACGTAGATAGGTACAAGCAGCAACATCTACTCACCTACTGACTAAGTGCACGTGGTTAAAAGACCCCGTTAGACAGCAAACACCTCTTTCTTCTTTGAAGTTAACTATATAATAATAGAAATTGGGTTATATCCTGCGCTGCGTGACCCTCCTGAGGGAGAGGTGCCCATCTCCTGTCGGCTGCTTCCACCAAGTGGAAAATTGAAGGGAACGTGGGTATTAAGTCTGCTAGTAGTAAAACCCGAGCCTTTTGCAGGAGCCACTGCTCCTTCCCCAAGGGCACGCTGCCCTGAGCCTGTCCAGCAGGTTGGGAGGAGGAGGAGAAAGAGGAAAAGAAGGAGGAGGAGAAAGAAGAAGAGGAAAAGAATGACTCCACCTGTATACAACCTGAAACAAACCCACCAGCAAAAGCACGTCCTGCAGCCAAACAAGGATGGGGTTTTGCCCTTCCTGCAGCCCCACTGTGCCCTTCTGGAGACTGTTCCCTGCCAAAGGTGCAAGGTGTGCACCCGTGTGCCTGCCAGAGTGGGTTTCCCTTACGTTGGCCAAGATCAGAGTGACAACTGATGCCAATGCTACCCTGGGGTAAAACTCCATGTGCAGGGAAGGAGGAATCCTGGTGCACAGCTCGTGGCTTGGGCAGGTCCAGTTTGTCACCTGGGGAAGGCTGAGCATCAGAAACACTTAGAAATGCTTAGAAATGCCCTGTCCCTCCCCTTTGCTGGGGATGGGCGCTCTGATTACTGGATGTCCATAGCTGCTGCTCCAAGCTCTGGATGCTCCATGGAAACACATGGGAGATTCCCATGGGAGATTCCACTTGTGTCAGTGATAACACTGCAGCAACTGCCTAAAGCCACACAGGAGACATTCTTCTTCACCCTTGACAAGAAACCAGAGTGAAGGAAAATGGGGCCACCAGCCCTAAAACACTCCTAACATCACATCTCAGAGCAAAGGTTTTCTCTTCAGTATGAGTTTTCCTTTCCTTGTTCTAATCTGCTCCAATCTGAGATGAAAGGCACCACAAAGAGAGAGTCTATGAGTGGGAAACCGGCCACAGCTGGATGTAGACCTGAAACCCCTCAGCACAAACCAACTCTGGTGGTGGATCCACAACCAATGCTCATACTGGGCTGGGATTTGGGAACCAGCAGTAGCACCTCTTCTCCAGCCTCAGAGCAGCCCTAATGGAGCCAGCACTTGCCAGTGTGCATCACAGTGACATCACTGGGCTCTAAATCCACTTCATTTCCATCTCAAGAGTTCTATATATTTTCCATGACAACTGACTTTTTGTCAGGTAACTGTTCCCAGCGGAGGCATCAGGCACTAGCAAGCACTGATAGTGGGTGAAATCTGTAGGATTTGAGGCACCTGAGCTGAGGTGGAGCCTTCAGGGATAAAAACACTTCCTACCATAGTGGAGACCTATCTCCTTGCTGAGCTGTGGTTTGCTGGGCTGTTTCTTTTGCTCTTATGAATGTGTTCCATATAAAGCAATTTTTGGAGGTTTTTTGGTGACAGCAGATGGGCAGCTAGCTGATGGACAGCACTGGTCTCATATATATATATATATATATATATATATATATATGTATATATATGTTTTTCTTGGCAGCCACGTAAGTTTTTTTCTTTGCTTTGTTTTTCTGGGATTTAAATTTGTTTATTTTTAAATTACTTTATTATTTTGCAGTGGGTTTTGTCTATCTAAGTGTATTCTTGTACAGAGTGGTAGGATTGTGACCAAGCTAAGATGACAGTACTTTCTTTCTATTCTGTTTTCTCTGACTTCTTAATACTTCTTATATGTTCAGTGCTGGAATTGCCATCAAGCTGGAGGTCCCTGGGACCACTCCAATCCCTTGAACTTCTCACCACAGGAGTGTGGGGGAAGGCTTGCTTCACCAACACCTGGGTTCACAACCCAAACAGAATGCCAGCAACAGTTTTAAGCACGTTCTCACTAAATGGGAAAGACTATAGAGGGACGTCTGGGTGCTGGTCTGTAGGATGGCACTTGTGAGACAATATTTGGCAGGAGAGAGGTGGGAAGGGGAAGGTGAAAGATCTGTAACCTGCTATAATGTAGTGTTATGGAGCAGTCATTGGCCTCAGGACCCTGTATCAGCATGGACAGAGACTAATACTGATGTTACACTAACACTGCTTGCAGGGGACGCCACAGCCGACATGTCCCACCTGCAAGCAATGCTCCAGCAAGGGAAACCCTGCTTTGGGCCCATTCCATTTCATGTCCTAACCTGTCTGTGAGTGGTACCGAGGGCTTTGGGATGAGCATCCACTGAATCCCATGACACTTCTCCCCCTTCTCAGCAAAATCCATGTGTGATTCTCACCTGGAGAAAGTAAAGCCTGCATGAGTGGGTCTAGGAAAGTTGAGGTTTGTTAAAAGGTTGGATTCACACGTGTACACGCACACACATACAAAGGACACAAGGCGAAAACCCTTCTGGCTCTCAAAGATTGAAACATTTTAAAGACTAGGGTTAAGTAAAAATGCCTGGAGGAGGACATCTATGAGCTTGGGGGCATCACATGAATTGCATGGGCAGCTCTAAGTGCCAACATGTAGCCATGCCAGCGCTGCTGGGTGCGTTCCCTACCATGTGCACGGTCATCCCAGAGCAGAATAGAGTCCTGGGATGGCTGCCCATATGAAGACAAGATCAGCATGTCTCACTGCTCCCATGCTTTGCTCAGGCACTTCTGCGTGGGGATGGTGGAAGGACAGAGAGCCCTGCCATCAGCAGGGGGATGAGGTTGTGGTGTTGGTTATGGGATCAGTTGGGGAAAGGGACGGTGGTCCTCGAGGTGCTGCTGCCCAGTTGGGAGGGTAAATTCATGGGTATGTGAGTGAATGAGCATTTGTGGCTTCTAAAGTGCAGTGCAGGTCATATGGTCTTTACTGTAAACTGTAAGCTCCTCAGGACGGAGCCCTTGTCCTTACTTTTATTTTTTTCTGTGAAATGATGTGCCAGCCTAGAAACTCTTAACCCTAAATAACAACAACTACTACAGGACAACAGGGGGTGGTGAGAAGGACAGTCTGTGCTCCCTGTGCCAGTATGGTGGGAGCAGATGGGGAGAGCTTCCCATGGCCCTCCATGCTCCATCCTCAGGGCTGTGGCTTCTTTGAAGAAGCACCCTCCAAACAAGGATCTCCAACCTGTCTTCCTCTATGTGGGGCTTCCCTTGGTCATTACAAGGAAGGTGTTGATTCAGGTTCTGTTCCCAGGGGGGTCTCCCAAGCTTGAGTCTTGAAAAGGAGATACAGATGACAAAGTTGCAAGGGGGGAATTTGAAGCCTCTTATAAGTAGGGAGCTCCTTGGAGAAGCTGTGCTCAGCCTTATGCTTCCCATCAACCATAGCCTTCCTGGGATGAAATGACCGCCAGTGCAGGAGCCCTCGCAGGGTGTGATGCTCACTCCCCCTAGGTGTCTGTCTAGGGTGGAGAACCACCCAATGCCTTTTTGTTCTTTCAGGACATTGATCCTCTAAAAGCTGCCAGCATCACTTACTGGGTCCAAGGCTCCTCCAAGACTGAGGAGAAGCTGGGTGCAAGATCAGATTGTGAACCCTACCTGACTTCCATAACCTTCATCAGACATCAGTCAGACCAGCCTGCACAGCCCATGGGCACAGTGCTCTCCTAATGTCCCCTTCCATGTCAACTAGAGATACCCAAGAGGTTCCTGAAGGGCCTCAGGCACTAGAGCCTCCTGTTACATCTCTGAGCAGAGCCAAACCAGCTTATTTTCTCCTTGGATGACTCAAGCCTAGTTCATTCATATGCACACAGAATATGCTTCCCCCTGCTGGCAATATTTTGCTTATTATTTTTAATCTATGCCCATAAATTGGCAAGGAGGAGAAGGCAGATAAAATGGCAAGGGGAACCTCAGGAGACAGGTTGGGCTCATTAAATGTTTGGCACTCTGTGATTATTTGTTGGCAATGAAATGTCACTAGTATGTTTTAACATGGAACACAATACCTAAATATGCAGGGGAATCTCCCCTATCCACTTTTGGTACACTTGAGAGACAGGAGGAATTCAATCATCTGTGACCTGGATTGTATTTTTAATGGCTGCCAAGCTAGATAAAATATTTAAATATTCACTTTTATATCAGCCCACATGGGGACTTGAGCATTTCAGGTTGTATAATGCAGGGTGGCCTACTTTTGGTGTATACAGAAATAGGCACATATGTACAAAATACTGAGTGTGCAGCATATGGGTCAGCCAGCCAGCATTAATTAGCTCGGCACAACCAACTCCTGCAGTGCTAGCCTGGCCCAGACCCACCAAAGAGCTTGTGCTGGATTTCAGAGGTGACCAGGTCAAAAAATATTGGTGTACGCCTGGAATAAAGACGGTCATCCTCAGAGGTGGCTGAGACCCTGAAGCAAAGGCATTGAGGACACTGCTCTGCCAGCAGAGCTGACCTTGCAGGAGCAATTGCTGAATGATACTGGGGCTCCTGGTGCCATCAGGTGCTGCCCATCTGCCTTGTGATGCTGCCAGGAGAGAGCTGGGGAGCGTGAGGGACACTGCAATCAGACCAGAAATAGGTGCCCACAGCTTGCACTGACTATACAGGCTACTTGTTTACTGACTGCATAACAAACCTGAGCAGAGGGCTCTAACACAGCACCTTACTGGGAGGCTACCTGTGGATCAGCCCATCTGTCCTATCAAGACAGCTCCAGCACAGCCAAGGCAGACTCAGCCTTTACAAGAGCTGGGCTGTGTTGGCTTCTAGCAACAGCGATGCTGGGAGGCTAATGGTCCTGCCTTGCTTTGGAGTTGGGGATGTGGAAGGGACTGGAATCTCTTGGGGTGATGTGGCAATGGTGAGGATGGCATAGGAACATGAAGGTGCAGGGAAATGGGGGCAAGCCCTGCTCCCTGCCACCACGAGGCCCTTGGGTCCTCTGCCAATGTGACCCACGTGCAGGGTAAGCAAGGTTGCGTGTGTGATTGTCAAGTGCTTTGCCATGCAATGGCATCGACCCTGATAACAGCACGGGCTGATGGCTGCCAACCTGAAGTCACTATGGGGTCACCAGGAGATGATGAGAACATGAGCCTGCTGGGGTCACTCTCACCCATCATGTGCAACCACAGCAAGTCCTACCAGAGTCATCACATGCTTTCATGTAGCAAAGCACAACCAGAGCACAAAAAGAGACCCAGCCTTGCAGGGGCACTGAGCCCCACTTCCCACAATGGAGGCAGCCACTGACCCAAAGGCTGAGCCATCCCCGTGTATTTCTGAGCCCCTTCCCCATGCACTGGTAGGGTGCCCTGGCTCTACCCCAGAACAGGTCAGCACTACAGCTGACCCTACAGCCCCATGAACACCCTGACAGGAATGGCAGCCTCTCATGTGAGGCCGTGACTCTTCCTAAATTACCAAATAACCAAATTTTTTTGCATATGAACAGTATCACAAGTGCATCTATGTTAACAATGTTCCGCAGTAAGTACTGACAGGTGACTGTCTAAATGTTACTCTGATTTTTTTTTTTAATACAAAATCTACTTCTGAATTGTTAAATGTCACATCCCAACCTTCCTGACAAGGAAATCCCACTGTGGGCACGAGGGTGGCTCCCAACCTGTGGGGACACCAGGATGGGTCCAAAAGCCCAAGGACCTTCTGTGCAGCTCCTTCAATGGTGTTAAAGCCAAGGAGAGCTGCCTTGAAGGAGAGGGGGGACCAAACACGGGGCTGTGGACCACAGCAGGGCAGAGAAGGGTGCAGAACTATCACCAGCACCAACAGATTTCACTTCCCACCTGAAATCCTTCCCCAGCCACTCTGGTCTTCTCCTGAACCCAGTCCAAACCCTGCTCAGCACCACAGTGATGCTCGCGGGGCAATGGTGGGAGGAAAGGGGCTGCTCCAATCCCACTGGAAGGAGTCAATGGGATGCAGAGAAATGGGGTATGTCACATCCAGGGGACAGAGGCAATTTTGTGTTACTCAGCACCAACACTTCTTAGTAGATAGGCTGGGGCTTGTGGTCATCATGTTCCACCATGAGGTGTTTCTCTTCAGAGGGAAATAAGCAGATGCTCAGGGAGATTTAAGCTTTGAGATAAGCAGTTCTCAGGGTGGATTTAAGCATCAGCCCTTATGAGCTTTTGGGGTCACAGCCAGCCCTCTCACCAGCCTTACAGGTCTCTTTGCTTCTAGAATCTCAGAGTACTCCCTGTGCAGCTCTGGGGAAAGTGGGCACCAAGTCTGACTTCTCCCCAGAAGAGCTGTCATGAGTGGATCTCAGTTTTTTCCCTCATTTGGGGCTTGCGGTGTATGGGAATACAAGAGAGGGCCATGCCAGATGGGTCCACATTAGTTCTGGCCCATACACTGCTGGTTGGAAGCCTCTTGCAGCTCTGCAAGAGTACCTCTGACTGGGATGTTTTCAGTATTTCACACCCATTTGCTCTGCCCTCCCGCAAATCCTCCTTTAATAGCTGCATGAAAAGGCTGCTATGAATCATGCTCTATTTTGGTGAGCAAACTAGTATTTTTGGCACAGTGGTGGGGGCCCCGTTCCTGCACTCCCCACCCGTACCGTGCTTTGGGGACAAGGGACAGGGCAGCACCAGGACGGTGCCCTGGGATGGGGTTGATCTCAACTGTACCAGTGGGGTTCATGGGGATACAAAGTGCAAATCAAGAGAGTGAGCCCAAACCTCACCCTCAGTTTCAGTGGTTTGGGTTTATCTAAGAGCAGCATTTTTTTTCTTTTTTTTTTTTCTTCAAATAATACTATAATAGTTCAGCACTACGGCCAAGGATAGTGGGGCTTTGGGACACTGCTCTCCATCCCTTGCCCTCAGCATACATTGCACTACATATGCTGGTTCCCTGCCAGCTGCATGAGCCTTGTCTTCATGCTTTTCTCCCAGAAATCTGTCCCAAGGATGGGAGTGGGCTCAAGGGTCACAAACACTTCGGTTTCCTCCCAGAGCTCCCCATTACACGTTTTAACATCTAGCTGCAAAAGCTCTCCTGCCTCCTGGTTTCGTTCCTCTACCAAAGCCAGCCTCTGGTTGTGGAGCACTCCCATTCACCCAGCCAGAGAATTTTCAGCATCGTTAAGCGGGGAGGTGCTGCTAATTCCTGGCCTCGCTGCCTCAAAGTTGCCTCCTACCCGTGCACAGCCTCCAGCGCTGCCCGAATGGTTTTCAACACGGTGTGAAAGCAAAGCTCCTGAATTAGCGGGGCTGATGGCGGTTGTCGGCATCCAGGTTTGGGGGAAGTGCCGTACGCACCTGCTGCAGGGGAGCCCCCGGCACGGCCCCTCAGTCCGACCACTCGTTATCATCCAGCTCGGAGTCGTCGTCTGACTCGCTGTACTCCACCGCGATCCGGCGGGACAGGATGGTCGCCACATCATTGCCCACGGGCTCTTTCTTGGCCTCTTGCTCCCACTGCTCCTGGACTTTCCGAAGTTGAATGCCTGTGTTAAGAAAGGTGGGAGAGCTGTAGGGGCACTGTCACCTACCAGCTGCCATCCCCGGTTAAATGCATGGGCTGGAATGGGGTGGCTGCACCTGATTACAAAGATGCAACCTTCCTCCTTGGCACACACACAGCCTGCAGAGGTTGAAGCTTCTTGGAGGCCAAATCTTGCATTTATTCTTAACATCTGCATGAAGCAGGAAAGGTAAATGAAGGAGACCCCAGCAAGCAGCATCAGCTGCAGTCTGGTGGAAGGCTGGGTGCCCAGGAGTGTTGTCATAGAGCCCATGGCACTTCCACCCATGGACTGCCACCTCCCCAGCAGTGACACCTTAAGTCATACAATCGTCATAAGCTCAGAAGAGTTGGGTTGGAAAGGACCTCAAAGCCCATCCAGCTGCAGCTCCCTGTCATGGGCTGTCTGTCTGTATGGGAACTGTTGATCATGGCCTGAACCTCTGATTGACCACCTGAGGCAAGCAATGAGTCAGCCACGGGAGCACAGGCGAAGGCAATTCTACTTGGAAGAAGCGTAGCCTGGCTCCACCTCTCCTAGATCCCATTTAAGGACTGACTGCCACTAAGGAAGGATCTCTCTCTGGAGATTGCTCCTTGTGGAGTTTACTGCAAGCCTTCAACACTGGTGAATGTTTTATTATTATTATTACTATTATCTTTCCACCATGATAATCTTACTAAGCCTAACATCTGTATACTTATTGATGGTACAATTATGTGCTTTCCCCCTCCAGCACAGGCTGCCAAGGCTCCACTCAGCCTGACCTTGAGCACCTCCAGGGATGGGGAACCCACATTCTCTGGGCAGCAGTGCTAGGGCCTCACCACTCTCATCATAAGGAATTTCTTCTCTGTATTTGATCTACGCCTTTACTCTTCTAGTTTAAAGCTGTTTATCCCTTGTCCTTTCACTATTCCCTCTGACAAATAATTCCTCCCCACCCATCCTGTATCCTCTTTTAGCCATAAGAAGGTTTCTATCAGGTCTCCTTTTCCAGGCTGAACAACCCCAGCTCTCCCATCTCATAGCAGAGATGCTCCATCCCTCTGAAAACCTCCCCTCCGTGTCCCCTGGGATATGGATTGTATGGGAACTGCTGAGTCACGGCCTGAACCTCTGATTGATCACCTGAGGTGAGCCATGAGCCAGCCAGAGGAGCACAGGTGAAGGCAATTCACTGTGCTGCCAGAAGGGGTGGAGCCTGGCTGCACCCCTCCTAGACCTATTGAAGAGCTGGCTACCAGTGGGGAAGGATCTCTTCTGGAGATTGCCTTTGCTGGTGTTTTGTGAGCAAGCTCAGGATAAGGGTAAGCCTTCTATTTATTCTTTTGTTGTCATAGTCTGCTTTGCCTAACTCTCTTGTTTATTTCGTGATTATAACATCCTAAAATTCTTTGATTATACAGGATCCTTCTCTGCAGGTCTCGTTTGGGTTCCACCACCTTTGTACATCACCTGGACACCCAGGGCTTGCCTGCATCTCCAACAAGCCAACACCACCCAACTCTGGACCACAGCATTTTGCCTGGGCCGTCCCCTCCCTGCAGGGGAGGCAGACCCCCGTGCCACATCTCACCTCTGCGGATGGCTGCGAGCAGGTCGCTCCGGGCATCGCTCATAGGCATCAGCGGGATCGGCGGCTTCCGGGACTCGGCGGCTGGGGCTGGCGGTGAGGCTGAGTGCGCCGGCGAGGTGGTGAGAGCGGGTGGCCCCGGTGGTGGTGGCGGCGGGGCCACGGGCGGCCCCATGGGGCCGGCCTGAGGCGGGGAAGCGGAGTAGGGGCCGGGCGGTGCAGGGGGCGGCGAGGGCGCGTAGGAGGGGTGGGCGGCGGGGGCGGCCGCGCCAGGGGGCAGCGCTGCGGGAGCCGCCATGGGGCTGTCGAAGGCAGTCTGCGCGGAGGGGATGACGGGCGGCGGGGGCGGAGGGGCCGGCGGCACGAAGTACTCCGTCATCGGTACGGGCTGTGGTCTGCAAGGGGAGAAACCCCATCAGCAACGTAGGCGCGGCAGCAAGCCTCCCCGAGTCTCCCGAGACGTGAATGGAAGCCCTACCCGAAATCCTTGACCAAGTGCGGTCTGGGTCCGTTCAGCACGGCCTCGGGGGGCTGCGGCGCGTGGGGCTGCTGGGCGCGGTTGAGGCTGTTCTGCCGGCTGCTCGCTGGTGGTCGGTAGCCGTGTTCTGGAGGGGGGACAGTCGGCAGCACTCCCTCCTTGTGTTCTGCGGGCACGTGGGCTGTGGGGGCCAGCAGCTGTGCCGGGTGGTTGGGGCTTGCCGGGTATGAGTGCTCAGCAGCATCTGAGGTGTAGGATCTACGGCGACAGGAAAACCAAAGGGTCGCATGCCTGGGAGGGGAAGGGCTGGGCGAGGGACTGGTTTGGGGTACTTGAGGTCAGGGCAACGAAACACAAGGGAAACCACAAAATAGAGGCAGACAAGAGAGCACAGAGAGGAGAACACCAATGGAGCTGGACCAGACTCTTCCCTCAGCTCCTAAACCGCTTGGACTTTATCCCACCACCAACATCCAGGATGTGACCCTGGTGGGCATCACTGTGCTGCGCATGAAGCTACATGGGTCTATGGCTCATTGGCTCGCCTTCCCGAACACCCTTGGCCTGCTAGCCCAGGGATGGCAAAGAGAAAAACCAGAAGTGCCAAAAAGCAAAGGAAGCCCGGTGAGCTGAACGTGTAATAGGTAAAACCTGCCTATTATCTGGGGACAGTGATCCTTCCGATGATGCCATGTGATATGGGGATGGTGAGAACCTGTTATCGGGTCGGAACTCTTTATCGTATGCCATCATGTTCCACTCCAGGCGCCGGTTGCGGGCTTTCCGCACTTTCTTCACCTCCCGAGTGGAGTCCTCCACCAGCCGCTGCTCCTGAGGACACACAGCTGCAGCTCTGCCTCTGTCCCATGGCCCCTGTGGGTGATGCCCGTGGAGCATCGCCCTGAGCCCGCCCCCAGAGCCATCCCTGCGCCTGCTACCTTCTGCCTGCGTTTCTCCTTCCTTTTGTCCTCTGTTGCCTGCAGCATCTTCTCCTTCCACAAGTTGAAGAAATAGGAGGGGTCGGTGTAGAATTTGAGGCCATCTTTCTTGTCGTCCCTGAAGGGAGAAAAGGGGGATGTAAGCTACAGGTAGGGAGAATCCCCAAAATATTTCAGTGCTAGCAATGGCAGTGCACAGATAGGGAACCTTCAGCCTTCTCATGACTACCACCTTCCGCCAGCATCCATCTCTTTCCCATCTTGAGCCCTGCACTGGCACATTCCACAGAACTATGTGAGGGCAGTAATGCTGATGCCTTGGGCACTTGTTCCCAGAAAAGAGACCGCTTCCCCTGCATATGAAGGCTTGGTATGGTCAAAGAATAAGCTGTTGGGGCCTCATAAACATGATCAGTGTGGAGACATCACTACCTGCAGTACCACATTATGATCGTATGGACATGGCACAAAGGGATATGATTTAGTGGTGGGACTCAGTAGGTCAGGGTCACAGAATCATGGAGTGGCTGAGGTTGGGCACAACCTTTGGGCCCATCTGGTCCTGCTCCAGCAGGGCCACCAGAGCATAGTGCCCGGGCCCACATCCAGAGTCCTTTGAAAATCCCCACGAGGAGGCACCAGAACCTCTCTGGGCACCGTCATCGCACATTAGCACCAGTGCTATAGTATCTCCAAGGCAGATGGTTGGAGTTGCTGATCTTCTCCAAACTAGATGATTCTGTGGTGTAAGGTCACCTGTTTCAGTTGTCCCATGCAATTATGGTGGTACAGACATGGGGAAGACAGCCCTCATCAAGCAACAATGGGGTCACATCCCCCTGGCACCTCTCCTGCCAGAGGCCCCAGACATCCCCCCAGCACTCTGAAGAGCAAGGGGACAGCTGCCCCACCTGTATGGCGTGAGGATGTTGAGTGGTGGAGGCTTGTCGCAGCGCTGGTACATCTCCATCACCGGGTTGGGGATAGAGTTGCGGGACACAACCTGTTGGTTCTGCACTGTGGAGCTCTTGAAAGCCTTCCTCATGTTGATGTCCTGCAGCGAAACTGGGGACACGGTGGGGAGAGGGGAATTATCCCTTTGCCTCACCTTGCAGTCCCCAAACAACCACGCTATCTACCTGCCAGCCCCTCACCTTCCTCCACAGTGGAGTCCAGCTGCGTCACCTTGATGACCAGCAGGTCCACCCTCTCCTGCAGTGAGTTCATCCTCATGTAGAAGCTGTTGGCCTCATTGAACAGCTCCCCAAAGATGTCCTCAGCATGTCGGCCTGCAGGGGGAAAACATGCTCCCATCATATGCTGCTTTATTTGCAGTGTCAGAACTGTGCACTGTGTTCTGGGGACCTGAGCTGAGTCCCCTCCAGGCCTGGCAATGCACATTCCATCCTTGCTAGGTACAGGTTGGGGTTTGCCCCACAAACCCCAACCAAGTGGCTTCCACATCAAGGCTGCTTTTGGCTGCTCTCTAAACAGATCTTCTCTTCCTGGGAGTATTTTGGAAAATTATCTAGTTTTGGAGGGGGGAAAAAGGCACTAGGTGGAGAGCCCTGGGGAGCCTACACTGCTCTTTCTATTTTAAGACAATATTCAGCGGTGAAATAAGTTTCACCTATTAACTATTCCTGCTCACATGCACTGGGCTCTTGTCCTTCCCTTTGCTGCTGGAATCAGTCCTGAAACAGGAAGGACTGAGGACTTTCATACTGAACTATCTTTCACCTAGGGCATTCACATGGCTCTCAGTGTTCTGCATTAACAAGAATCTAAATACCTTCTCATTTCCAGCCAAGTCAAGAAATGAAAGATCATTTGACCAAAAAGTCAAAAAGACTGGCAATGGGAGGACAATAAGTCTTAAAATATCCATGCGTTCCCCCTTTCCAACCCAACTCTTCTGAGCTTGTGATGGTTGTATCACTTGAGATGTCACTGCTGGGAAGGTGGCAGTCCATGGAGGGAAGTGCCATGGGCTCTATGACAGCACTCCTGGGCACCCAGCCTCCCGCCAGACTGCAGCTGATGCTGCTTGCTGGGGTCTCTTTCATTTACCTTTCCTGCTTCATGCAAATGTTCCCCCCAAGAGCATCGCTTCTTAATATCTGGATAAACCTCACCCTACTGGGAACTCTCAGAACCAAACCAGGGTCAGTGACCACAGCATCACAATGCTTCAACCATTCCCAGTGCTGGCACAGGGTCACAGCATCCCCATCCCCATCCCTTGTGACTCACTGAGGCTGCCCAGCTGCTTGATGATGGCGGCCAGCGTGCTGTTGGTGACACATTCCAGCTCACTCGTCACCCCGTCAGGCAGGGCCCCCCGGCACAGGTGCCGGGGCTCAATGTTCCTCTTCACCAGTGGCATACTGCTGGTGGGCACTCACACTCTCCTGGGAAAGGAAGAAAAAAGGAGAAACAACCCAAAACAGCCTTTTCCATTTGCATTTCCTCTCTTCTCTCTCTCTGGGGACCCACCTAGGAAATGGCGATGACAGAGTGTGGCTCAAACCAGCAGCAAACCCTGTGCGATGCAGCCCTTCAGCTGGCCCCAGAACACCTCCCCTGACCCAAACGGGAGCAAGCGAGTGCCTGTAATTCCATTATTTCCAGCTAACTGCAGAGCTCTCTGGGATTTATTTGTGCACACACACAGCTCTGATGCGGGCTGCCATGTCCTGCCCTGCTCTCCACAACATCCCCCAGGGCCGGGGCGGCTCACTGTCTCCAGGATTGGGAAGACACGAGGAGGGAGGAGAAGGATGGATGGGATGCTAAGAGCTGGGCATACCCATAAGGCAGCAGGAACGCTGACTACGGCAAGGGCCAGAAATGTGCACAGCTCGCTTTTTTTGACCCTAACAGTACTTGGCAGAACAGATTCCCATTGATAGCACCCACCATGCTCCCCAGCCCCCCACCCGCACCCCAGCTTGGTGGGAGTTTTCTAATGCAAATGCAAGCTCTTGACAAAACAGCGCAAAACTTGTATCTAAATCATTAGTGCTGAGCTCCCAAAAAGGCTGATTGTGCTCCCAGCAGCACAAAGCAGATGCTATTTTGCCTTCTGAGTCCATCCCCTCCAGCACTTCCCAAACTGAGAGGAAGCACTTAATGAGCTGCTTGTGCTGTCTGTCCGTTGGGAAAGGGGAGGTGCAGACCAGTTCTCAGCACAGGATGCTGCCCCGGGGATGCTGGCTGCATTTCCTGACGCATGAGGTCCAGGAGCACTGACAGTAGTCACTGATGGCACCCACGTAAGGCTGAACTTGGGCAGCTGCAGGCCTTAAAGCACCAGACTGCCATGTTTAGGCAGGCTCTGACAGATGATGACCCCCAGCAGCATCACCTAGGGCCCATCCTGGTACGGGAGCTTAGTGAAGCTTGGTATTGCCCTCTGGGCTCGGTGTGCCAAAGGGACTTGGGCTGGTGGGTCCTTGGTGTCCCCTGTGAGCCACCCCTATGGTGGTCCAACCTATGGTGGTACAGGTGGTCCAACAGGGCTGGATGAAGGCATGCTCTAGGTGATGTTCAGTGTCTTCCAGGTGGCAATGAGACCATTTGGTGAGCACTAGATCCTGACTTCATATTGTGTGAGATGAGAGCACAGATTTAGGAAGCGATGGGGTGTGTGCCATGACCCTAGCTATGCCAAGCTCTCACAGATCTCAGTGCTGTGCCCCTGTGCTGAGCTTGGATTGGGGTCTGTCTGTGTTTCTGTCTGTCTGTTTAGCCCCTGTTGTCAGATCTCACCCAACTGCACTGCCTAGGCACTGCCAGCAGTGGGACTGTGTAGCCCAGCAGGAGCCTTGGCCAGGCACCAACAGCAGAGCAAGGAGAAAAGCAAAGGGAGCAGTGTATGGCAAATCCACAGTGCTTGTACAGAGACAAGGAGGTCTGCAAACACACATCGAGAGAGTGAGATCAGGAAGGTGATGAGATGGCTGCTTGGTTGGGATGTAGCACAGAGAACCTGCTTGCCGGAGCCAGCCCTGCAGCCACTGCCATGCTGCACACAAAATGGAGTGCTCCTTCACCACCAAGACACAGTGCTCATGTTTAGGAAATGCATCTGTGACCGCTTGTTACTCTGCTGATTGCTGGAGTGACTGCGATTGCTACCAGCCTGACAGGCATCACCGCTTCACATGGAGCTGATAGCACAGCTGAACTCTTCCAAAGGCTCACTGAATGCTCTGCAACTGGCTGGGTCTCCAGCATCCCCATTTCTCAAAACATACCGGAGGGCAAATCCCAGGAGGCTGCTCTCGGGTCACCAATCCATCAGCGCAGGGAGGTTGGAGGCTCACAGCACAGCGAGCTGCGATGTCTCAGCAGTGAGGAACTGAACAGCAGCCATCCCAAGCTGCTGGAACGAGCTCACTCCCATGCACATGGCTGAGGTCCTGCTGGACAGCCAGGGGAAGGGTCAGCACCCGCAGCCAAGAGGAGCGCAAGCTGAGGCCACCTGCCTGGGCTGCACTGCTGGGCTGGAGCTGGAGCTGGTGCTGCCCGTGCTCAGGGCCAGCACCTCCATCCCAACAGGAGCGCTGCCTGCTCCTTCCCCACGGCCCATCTGCAGCCTCCGCCTGCGCTGCGCCAACTGCAGCGGCTCTGCCTCCACCGAGCTGCAGGAGAGAGGCTCCGCCACCGCGCTGAGCTGTGAAGTGCAACACAACATGGCTAAAAATATTCCCTAAGAGTTGTGTTAGTAAATGCCACGCTAATTTTTTTTTTTTTTTTTTTTTTTTTTACCTTCTGCTGCAAAGCTCTCAGCTCCAGAAACAGCAGTGGGCTCAATTGCCTCTAACTTGCAAGCACCTCTCCGAGCTGGGCTTTGCAGTGGTCAAAAAGCTCTTTAGGGGGGATGCTGAATATGCAGTGCCTGCTGCCTTGGGATTAGGGGAAAGCTAGCCCTGTTGCTCAACAGCAAACAGGCTCCTACATGGCTTGACCTGAACTATACATACAGCTACACCAACTGGCAGGTGGGTTTTCATGCAGCTATTTTCCTTAGGGATTAGGTGGTGTGGATTTTCTGGATCCAATCCAAAATAATGCGTGGATACCCTTGCAGTGAAGGGAGAAGGGAGAGCCAGAGATGGGGCAGGGAGCAGCAGCAATCCTGTGCATGCTTTGGCTGAAAGAAGCCTGCTGGAAAGGAACCACGTGCTGTTCTTAATGACTCTCTATCACCAAAAGAAGCCTTCAATGCCATCCCCTCTCTATGCCAGGCTCATTACCAGCAGGCCGGCCATGTCCCGCCGGCAGTGCAGCAGGACGCAGCTGAACAAACCCCCATTCTGTGCACCACAGAAGCGCTTTGATCAGCACGGGGCAGCCTGGGAGAGCAGCAGGGCTCTTCCTGGGCACTCGCAGCTTGGGAACAGCCGGCAGAGACGCGTTTCCCTGCAACAGTGACAGGCAGCTCTGCAAAAGCATGCTGGCCTCTTTGTTTTTTGTTTTTCTTTTCTCTCTTTTCCTTTTGGCTTGAGGGCTGTTGCTCAGAACTTGTCAAGATCTTGGCGTGCACAGCTGATTTGTCATCTACCAGAAAATGGAGGACGAGCATCCTTGGTTCAGCATGGGGCTGAAGCAGACAGCAGCTCTGAGCAAGTCCGCTTCACCTCAGGGTTTCTCCGCGGGCTGCAGATCCCAAGGAAGGCAGTGGGCATTTGGGGACTTGGTTGCATCACTGCATAAGAGCCCTTGGCATGCACTGTGCTCGTAGCTGAGCAGCACAGCACATTAACCTCCTGCCTGCCATGCAGAGCTGCTTCTGCCCGCTACTGAGCTGCTCCCTGCCGCTGAGGATGCTTAAGAAATGCAGGAATGCCAAATGCCATCTAAGCATCTTTTTTTTTCTTTTTTTTCCTTAGCTATCCCCTCTAAAACCCAGGCAATGAAACATAGAAACGAGGGCTGTGCTTAGACACACTGAAGTTTGGAGGATGAATGATGAATTCATCCTACTGCTGACCCATCCATCCAGGTGCTGCACTCCCCTGCTTGGGTTGCCAGGCACCAGGCAGCCATAGACAAGCAATCCTGAACTGCACCGAAATCGGCCGTGGTTCCGCACCCATTGGGATTTCAGCACGGCGGCAGCGAGACCTCGAGCATTCAGCTGCTATGAAAGCTCTGCAAGTCGCTGAATCACGAAGCACAAGGCCCAGCTCTGCACATGCATGCCTGCGTGCTGGAGGGGCTCTGAGCTGCAGAGGGACACGTGCAGGCAGCCACCGGCCCCAGCAGTCCTGCCAAGCAGTGCCCCCTCCCCCCCATGTGCAAATGGAAAGCACTGGTAGAGCCTTGCAGCAGGGATGTAAAGTGATGGCCCCTCCCTGCCATGCAAGGGCGCAAAGCGCACAGGTTCCCTCTCCATGCAGGAATGCAAAGTGACAGCACCCCCGCGGCCGTGCGGTGTGCAAAGAGGCTGAGACACCCCCCCACACACACGCATACTCCATGTGTGGACGCAGAGAGTCCTCGACCCCCGCACACTGACTGCTCTAGGACTCCTTCCCGATGGGAGGTGCAGGCAGCCTTACACCCCCGCCCCATGCATGGGCAAAAACCTCCATGAAGAGCTGGGAAGTGAGGGTCTCCCCCCATCATGAAAATCGGCAAAGTGACGGGGGACCCCTCCCCACGCAAGGATGCACAGCGTCCAGCCCCCCTACGCATGGATATGGTTGGGGGGGGAGCACAGGGATCCAAAGTGGAGGCGATACTCCCCCTCCCCAAGGATGCAAAGCTGTATCCTCCCCGACTCAAGGATGCAAAGCACTGTGTTCTCCCCTTCTCCCCCCGCCACCCCCCCCCCCCCCAAAAAAAAAAAAAAAAACCGCAAAGCGTGGGAGACCCCAAAAACCTTATAAAGCCACAGCCCCCCCCCCCTCCACTCCTTCCCCCCCCGCAGCCACCCGCTCACCTCCGTCGTCTCCGAGGGGGGGCTCCGGGCGAGCTGCGCGGCGCCGGCGGCCCCGGGCCGGTGCGGGGCTGCGGCTGCCGCCGTGCCGGGAGCCCCGCTCCGCTCCGCAGTGCGCGCACAGCGCATGTCCCCCCCCGCCCCGCTCCGCCCCGCGCCGCCCCGCTCAGCTTCTCTCCGCTCCGGGCGGGCGGCCCCGGCTCCGCCGCCCCCGGTGCTGAGGGAGCTCCGCACTCCCGCGAGGTGCGGGGCCGGCGCGTTCCCTTCTCCCCTTCCCGGTGGCGGCTACTTTTCTGCTGGCCCCGCAGCGGGATGATCAGCGTAGGGATGATCTCCTCCTGCGGAAGGGCGAATGAGGAGCCGGGATGATGCTGAGCAGGTGGTGCACCATCTTCTCGGCCTGGTCACCTCCTATGGTCTTTCCTATGGTCCTTTCCAAGGGAATAAACTCCTTCCACTCCACCCCGGGGGACATTTGATCCTTTCCATGGTCATGTGCCAGAGCTGCCCGTGCTGCGATACTGATTCACACCACCTCCTCGTGTCACCCACTGAGCTGGAGCCTCAATGCCGCTGTCCCCAGGGAGCCCCCAAGGGGCTGGGGATTGTTGTGCCATTCAGCCTCACTTCTGTGGCTGGGAACATCATGGAACAGATCCTCCTGGAAGGGATTTTAAGGCACACAAGGGACAAGCAGGTATCTAAGACAGCCAACAGGGCTTCACCAAAGACAGATCATGCCAGACTCATCTGGTGGCCTTCTATGATGGTGTGATGAAATCGATGGACAGAGCAAGGGTAACTAATGTCACCTACCTGGACTTGTGCAAGGTGTTTGACGTGGTCCCATGCCACATCCTTATCTCTAGACTGGAGAGATGTGGATTTGAAGGCTGGACTATTGAGTGGAGGAAGAATTGGTTGAACAGTCATAGCCAGATGGTTGTAGTCATTGATTCTGTGTCCAGGTGGAGGGTGGTCACAGGTGGCATGCATCTTGGGACCAGTGTTCTTCAGCAAGTTTTCTGATGACACCAAGCTGAGTAGTGCAGTTGACACAGTAAAAGGGAGGGACACCGTCCAGAGGGACTTGGACAGGCTTGAAAAAGGGGCATACGAAAATCTAATGAGGTTCAACAAGGCCAAGAACAAGGTGCTGCACGTGGGTAAGGGCAATCCCAGATACAGTACAGACTGGGAGAAGAACTCTTTGAGAGCAGCCCTGCCGATAAGGATTTGGGGATTCTGGTGGATGAAAATCACACACACACAGGATGGCCCGGGTTGGAAGGGACCTCAAGGATCATGAATCTCCAATCCCCCTGCCACAGGCAGGGCCACCAACCTCCCCATTTAATACCAGACCAGGCTGCCCAGGGCCCCATGCAACCTGGCCTTGAACGCTTCCAGAGATGGGGCATCCACAACCTCTCTGGGCAGCTGTTCCAGTATCTCACCACTCTCATAGTAAGGAACTTCCCCCTGACATCCAACCTAAATCTTCCCTCCTTCAAACCATTTCCCCTAGTCCTGCAGTTATGAACCCTTTCAAAGAGTTGACTCCCCTCCTGTTTGTAGGCTCCTTTTAGGTACTGGCAGGCTGCAATGAGGTTCTCTGGGCTGAACAAGCCCAGCTCCCTGAGTCTGTCTTCGTAGGGGAGGTGCTTCAGTCCCTCGATCATCTTTGTGGCTCTGCTCTGGACTCTCTCCAACAGCTGTCTTTCCTGTATTGGGGGCTCCAGACCTGGATGTAGTATTCCAGATGGGGCATCACATGAGCAGAGCAGAGAGAGACAATCACCTCCCTGTCCCTGCTGGCTACCCCTCTTCTGATGGAGCCCAGGATACCATTTGCTTTCTGAGTTGCAAGAGCACACTGCTGGCTCATGGTAAGCTTTTCATCCACCCAGGTTCTTCTCTGCAGGGCTGCTCTCAAGGACTGCTCCTTCCAGTCTGTATGGATGCCTGGAATTTCTCCGACCCAAGTGCAAAACCTTGCACTTTGCTGTGCTGAACCTCATTTGATTCACCCAGGCCCACCTTTCAAGTCTGTTGAGATCCCTCTGAATGGCATCCCTCCCTCTTACCACTTAGCTTGGTGTCATCAGCAAAGCTGCTGAAGGTGCATGCGATTCCGTCATAAATGTCATTGATACAGATGTTAAAGAGCACCAGTCCCAAGACAGATCCCTGGGGGAGAAAAGCTGGACATGAGCCATCTGTGTGCACTCACAGCCCAGAAGGCCAACAGTACCCTGGGCTGCAACAACAGAGGGGTGGCAGCAGGAAGAAGGAGGGGATTGTCCCCTTCTGCTCTGCCTTTGTGAGGCCCCATCTGCAGTACTGCCTCCTGGTCTGAGACCCCCAGCATGGAAAAGATATGAAGCTGTAGGAGCATGTCCAGAGAAGGGCATTGAGGATGCTCAGAGGGCTGGAGCACCTTTCCAACGAAGAAAGTCTGAGGGAGCTGGGGGTGTTCTGTTTGGAAAGGGCTCCAGGGAGACCTCATTGTAGCCTTTTAGTACTTCAGGTGAGCTTATAAATAGGAGGGTTCTGTGATTCTGTGTGGCAGGAACATGGCTGTAGGGCTGCTGGTAGCTCTGGGCTTTGTCACCACTAAAGTCCAGCTGGAGTTTTTAGGCTTTGCTTTTTGCCTTGCAAACGGGCATGTGGGGGAGAGAGAGAACTTTGGCAGAAGGATGATCTGTGGCACGGGGTGAGGTTTTCAGTGACTCACTCCTTGGTTATCTCCATGAGTGCCCCAGGGCTTCATCAAGGCAGGTTTGGAAGGGAGGCCCTGCATACAGCCCCACAGAGGCAGCGCAGTTGAGCTCCCCACTCTCCATAGCTGGAGCCACGAGCACCTTGCTGCCCCCAGACGCATGGAACGACCACCAACCCCTGCCACCAATGAACCACAGATGCAGCCTCGGAGCACTCAGGCAGTGCCCACTCTCCAGCTCTCTGATAGCCCCAAAGGGCAGCAAAGCACCGTGCACCAGAGCTGCACACCAGGAGCTTTGGGGCCAGAGGCAGTGCGGTGCTGCACGCTCCCCTCCTGCACAGGCTGTGAGGGTGAGGTAATCCTGGGTAATTCCTGACTTCCATGGAAATGCCTGGAGGCCGTGATGATTATCACTGTAATTAGCCTCTCTGATTTTTCTTGGTGTTCTATAAAACATTAATTTCCAGCTGGATCCTCGCCTCCTTTGTGCACAGCCCCACATCTCCCCGCCAGCAGCGCAACTCTGGCAGCTCTGCTCAGGGTGCAGGGCCCTGCCCAGGGGCTCTTGCAGCTCCTGCTGAAGGCAAAGGTGCAATAGAAGCACTCTCAGAACCCGCCCTTTCTATCTCTTCACGTGGTTGGTGATGGGGAGTGAATGCAATGCTGCAATGCTCACCAACAAAATGAAGGCACGCATCAGGCTTGGCAGCATGAGATGCCCAGAAGACCTCTGGGGCTCAGCCCCGGCTGGTGCCCCATTGTTTTGGCCAACCCAAATGGGGTCAGCTTCCATGTTTCTAATGGTGTATAAAATGTCTTTCCTAATGTTTTGATCCCAAATGTGACTATAGGCCATAGGAAAGGACAGGAGGAAAGGGATACTGTGGTATGCGGTTTGTCACTGCTGGGTACTGGAAACAGCCTGGCTCCATGGCCACTCGCTGCCTCCTTCCTTGGTCTGGGTCCCCGTGTTGCAGCTCCCTGCCCTGAGAAGGTTCTTTCTGCCGGGTAATGCACTGTGCCTTGTGCAGCCACGTGTACTAGCTGTCATGGCCGTGGGTGGAAGTGAAGAAGAAAAGCATTGCTAATGGTGGGCAAGTGGGACAGTGGCCATTCCAGGTGTGGGGATGGCACTGCCGGGGCTGCCTTCCCAGCACCACTGTTGTCCCGTGGCTTAGGGCAGCCCTGCACTGGGCTGAGTCCCACTGGCACTGCAGCCACGATGCTGCAAACCATTTCTACAGCTGTGCTTCCCAGGGTGCTCGCACGAGATATTTCCATCCAGCAAACAAACATCTATTCGGAGCTGCCTTTCACCCGTGTTTTGCTCGGCCTCCCGCTGCGGTTTCCCTCCCCTCCCATCAGAACCGGAGGATGCTCCGCGCCCGGCATCCCGCAGATGACGCTGCCGGCCGCCTTCCTTCCGTCTGCCCCTTTTTAAACCCCACTTCGCTGTGTGGTCATCGCTCGCTTTGCAGCTCCGCAGCGGGTATGAAGGAAAAAAGGAGCACGGAGCGCTCTGCTCCAAGCCCCGGGTGTCGGCAGAGGGCAGTGGAAGATGCTCCGAGCGCAGCGAAGCCGAGAGCGGGGATCCGGGGAGGAGACTGCAGCGGAGGAAGGGCCGAGCGGAGCCGCGCTCCTCGGGCGGCGGGGCCGGGCTGATAGTGATCTGACATCGCTCGGCCGTTAGGCCACGGGAAGACGGCAGCCCGCGCCTGGTATGCGGGCGGTGTAAATAGCCCCGGCGTGGGGAAAGAGCCTTTAATATATGGATTTGGAGTTGTTTTTTTTTTTTTTTTTAATTGAAGGAGAGCCGAGGGCGTTCCAGACGCAGTCCCCGCAGCTCCGCATCTCTCTCCCCCCCCCCCCCCCCCCCGCTTTTTGCAGCCGGGGGCCACAAACGGGCGTGGAAATAAAAGCTCCCGGAGCTGCAGCCCGCACCCACCGAGCCCCGAGTCCAGTCGGGCCACACTCCCAGCTCCGCCCTCACCTGGGTACCCCCCTGCAGTCCTCCCTTCCCGGGCCGGAGCTCCGCGGGGCTCGGGGTAGGGCCCTGCGGAGGCGGTGCCGGTGGGGGCCCGCCCCGGGGCTGCTCCCGCCGCAGGATGCGGCGGCGGAGGGCGATGCGGGGCGGCGGGGGCCGGCGCTGAGCCCCGGCGGATCGAGGAGGGGGGCGGCCGGGAAAGCGCCGCCCGCTCCGAAGGGGAAGGGGGTGGTCCGGGAGGAGAGGGGCCCGGGGAGGGTGGGGGGAGGTCCGGGCGGCAGGTAGGGGCCGGGGCCGCGCGATGGAGGAGGAGGAGGATGGAGGCGGCGGAGGGGAGGCGGGGAGTGAGGCTGCGGCAGGAGGGGGCGGGCGGGGGGGGGTGGCGGGCATGTGGGACCGGCTGCGGGGCAGTCGGGCGGCTGGCGGCGGCCGGAGCGCGGCCGCGATGGCGCAGCGCGGGGCGGAGGGCGGCGAGCGGGGGCCGGCGGAGGAGGGAGGGGAGGGAGAGCCCCGGGCCGGGGCCGAGCGGGGGCCGAGCGGGGCCGCCGCGCCCTTCCAGCCTCCCGAGGGCGGCTTCGGCTGGGTCGTGGTCTTCGCCGCCGCCTGGTGCAATGGCTCCATCTTCGGCATCCACAACTCCTTCGGGATCATCTACACCATGCTGCAGAGCGACCTGGGCGAGGGCAAGAAGGACCCCACGCTGGAGTTTAAAACAGGTACGGGTCCCTTTCGGCCCTCCCCGGCCCCTCCCGGCCCCGCGTGGAGCCGGACCGCTCCCTGCCCCCTCGGCCCCGCGCTCGTCCCTATATTTATCCGCCGCAGTATCATGTGTTGTTCCTAAGCTGCGATGTACTCAATTAAAAGTAATTCATCCGAAAAGCATGCCCGGAGCTTGTCCTGCCCGCTGCCTCGTGGTGGAGGGGGAGCGATGCTGGATCAGCCCGTGGAGTTCATGTCGTTCTTATGTGATTCTTGCTTCCCGCCGTGGGTGTCTGACTGACTGTCCGTCTGTCCTGGCTCTGGGATCCACAGGCAGGGTGAACATCTGCCCTGCAGCCACGTTGCCTTGAAGCAGCTTTCCTGGGCAGGCATAGGGCCACAGACAGCGTCCACCTGCACATATGAGCAGGAACCGGGGAGCCAGCATCGGGGCTGTGTTGCATTGACAGGAGAAGGGACATTTCACTGTCCCCAGTGAAATGGGGACCCCAGCCCTGGGATGGCAGTCAGGGGTCCCCGATGTGCCAGAGGCCCAACCTCCATGAGGTCATTTCCATCCTATGATGGACACCCATGGCCCAGCTCACTTGTAACTGTAGGGTCAAGCTCTTGGCATAGGGCAAAACCCAGTGATTTTGTTGTCCCTCTGCATGGGACACAGCACTGAGGCTGGTAGGGAGCTCAAAGCCCAGTCTGGGGACCGCTGGTGGCCGAGCTGTCCCCAATCCTTATGAGAAGATGGGGGTGATCCCAGCCCAAAGGCACCACCTGAGAATGGGGAATTACCCCTGCGATGCTGTCACCGGAGAAACAGAGGTGACGGTGTCACGGCGGTGTGCAGGGCGCGTGTGGCTGGGGTAATTACAGTGATTGATGGGCTGTGCATGTGTGAGATCCCGGGCAGCTCATCGCTGAGCTGGCTGCTTCCTGCTTGCCATGATCCTATCTGCAGAGCCTAAGGCAGAGCTGGGAAGGTAGAAGCAGTAACAAAAGAAATTGAATAACACAAGCCCTGGTGGTTTCAAGTCTACATGCCCAAGACGGAGCATCTGTCTCTCACTCCCAAGATGTATTTATCTGTGGCTGTGACCGCACAGAGGCCTCGAAAAAGAAAGGTGTGTGGGCGTGTGAGGTGAGCCGGGCTGGGGAATTACACTGCCTGGGTGACGGATCTGCGTTCCAGCCTGGGCACCCAGCAGAGGGGCTATTGAGAACCACAACGTGGGGATGGGTCCGGTATCAGCGGGCTGTGGGTTTTGGGGTGAATGCTGGGAGCTGTGGGATGTGGTGTGGGGCCCTCAACCCTTTCTCCCCTGGTTTCCCCACTGCTCCTGCTCGGAGTTGCATAATTTCCCTGCGGCAGTCGTTTGTGTGCAAACGTAATCGGGAAAATATCAGAGTTCCTTTGTGAGTGTGAATTGATACTGCCTTCCTGGATCCATCTGTCCATGCCCCAGTGTCCTTCTGCTTTTTATGGCTGGCGGCGGCAGCCAAACGCTGGGATCCCCTTGTCTTGTGCAGATGTGATGGGAGCACACAGTCCATCCTGCACAGCCCTAGGGCTCCGCACCCTGGCTCCCATCCCCATGCCCAGGGAGGTGGACTCATGTTAGAGGGGCTCTCAGCCCAGTGCTGAGCACGGCCACGGCCTTTCAGGCATCCCTTTAAAAATAGGGTTCTGTTTATGCTGAAGCGGGTACTGGTCTGAGCCAAACAATAGCCGCCCCAGCGCACAGCTATAATTATCAAGGTTTATTTCTTGTTTGCACTGGTCACATTTTCTCGCGTTTGATCTTGAGAAACGCAGGATCCACGGAGTTCAAATTTCGGGTCAGGCTTTGAAAACAAACCCTCTCCCAACAATGCATTGAATGCATACGCTGCTTTGTTTGGAGAAATATACTGCGAGGCGGCCGTCAACAAGCAGCGCTGCGCTCACTGCCGGGACCACCGCCGTCCCCTCGCAGCGTGGGGCCCCGCCAGGACTTCAGCACGGCACACTCTGTGCTTTTGGGTTTGTTTGCTTTTGGGGGGGAGGCAGAGATTGGCGGGGGGTCACTGACACAGGGATAAATATATTAAAAAAGGCATGTGAGCACTCAGCCAGAAGCAACTTGTCCTGCTCTGCCGAGGTGCTGAGTGACAGCCGAGCGCGGCTGCTGGACCGCATTGATTTTTCCCCCCCTGATATTTTTATTTATCTTCTTCCCCCCTCTTCTGCTCTTTGTCAATACACTAGGTACAGATTAACTCTCTTTGCTTAATATTTAATGTTTCCATTGCTTAAAATGGGAGCTGAGTGCACCCAGAAGAATGACCCCAGGAGCTGCTCTGCTTGGCCACAGCCCTTCAGGCATGTCCGTGTGTCTGTCCTCCTCCTCCCTTCCGTCCTCCTCCCCCTTGTCTGTCCATCAGCCTCCTCCTCCCATCCGTGCGTGGGAGCGGGAGGAGCAGCCTTCCCTTCTTGCCCAGCCCCAGTGAGTTAGCTGCGCAGCCCTCCGTACATGGGTCTCACTGTGCCAGGGTGATGGCATCTCCATAACTGGCTTTCTGTTTAATCTGAGGGGAGAAATTTCTCCTGGAACACCCATTAGGATGGGTGAGCTTAGCTGGAAAGGGCTGTTTGTAACTCAACACCATAACGGGGCGGGGAGGATTGCTGAAGGAGTGACTGATTCTTGACAAAATAAAGCATTTCAGTACAACCAACACGAGGAGAGCCTGAGGGGAGCAGCCAGCATGGCTCCCCCTGGGGCTGGCACGTGGGCCCCCTCATGAGGGAAACCCCAGGGAGAGCAAATCACAGGAGGTAATTCTTGGAAACAATCCCAATCCATTTCAACAGCGCCCAGAGGTTGGAAGGGAGCGGCAGCCAGAGAGCTGCACTGTGCTCAGCCTCCAGCATCCTCCCTTGGTACCCGCTTTGAGCTCCCACCTTCCTACCCAAACCTGCAGGATTCGGCACTTTCATTCACTGCTGACTCCACTACTCACACTGCACAGCCAACGTGTCGTGAGCTTCTGTGTTGCTGCCCATGTTTCCAAATCAAACTGGGTCTCCAGACCTTACCTGCATCCTCCAGCAGCCAGCCAAGGGGATGCTTTGGATGCTTTCAAGAATAGAGGCTGCAGAGCTTCTCTGGACAACCTTGTTCCCAAAGCGGCACCTCTTTGAACCCACTGTTGGGGCTCACTGCCCTCGGGTGCTCCCCACCTGCTCCACAGCACCTGCACTCAAACTGTGCAACATTTCTGCTCCCTGCTCTTTTCTCCTTCTCTTCCTAGAAGGATTGTTCCCATTCCCTGTCCCCAGGGAAGGCAATGCTCCTTTGGCAGCGTGTGCCGCACTGCTCACTGCCGGCACCGTGGGAGCTCGGTTCACTCCAGGCTACTTCCTTGCATCCACCCCAAGATAGTTGGGGCGGTTGCAAAAGCCCCATGACGCGCACTCAGCATTGCTGCAACACGCTTTGCATCTGTGAGCGATGAAAATCTCTCCCCCAGCACCTCGCACAACAGGTCCTGCCGGCTGCTGGGCATGGGCTGCGGGCAGAGGGCTGCCCCACTCCAGCCTCCCCACTCGTTTTGGGATTTGGGGTTTATTTATCACCTGATGCATGATTTAGGGTGAGAAGCTGGGTGAAGCCCTTCTGTCCTTCATCCCTTTGCAGGGTGTGCCCGGACACCCACAGGTCATGTCCGTATGCTGGGCGTTTACCCCAGTGCAGCTCATTTAGGGCAGCAGTCTCCTGGGCACACATGGGACCAGCAGATTGCTGCAGACTGCACTGCCTGTGACTGATCCTGGTGCTTGGGACTTGCTGGGGTTTACCTGGTGCAGTGCTGTGTGGGGACTCTGGCATGAGCCCCCACCAGTTCCCGGATCCAGAGGAGACAAGGCATGTGGAGTCCAGCAAGTGGCATCCCTCAAATCCCCCTTCTTTGGCCACCTTGCATCAGGCACTGAAACAAAGCTTTTGTTTCAGGCTCTTGGCCTTAATCTCCACTCCTGCAGCTCCTGCGCACAGATGGGAGGTGAAATCCTGCCTCTCGGGGGATGTTGCGTGAGTGTGTGTGTGTTTGTACTTGCCAGCCGTCTCGGGGTGCAGTGGTGCTGGAACATGGCGAGGAGCAACCTGTACACAACAGCAGCTCCAGTGCACCCTCAGCACCAAGTCCAGAGGAGCAAATTGCCCATGATTAAGGATCGGTACTAATTATATAATTGGCACACACGTGCCGACACCCAAACACACTCCCCTCAGGATTTCCCAGCTGGGGAGCACTGCACCCAGCTGGCCATTGGCCCTGCAGTGGTGACAGTGGCATTTGGTGGCCAATGGTTCCGTAGCACCACGGACACTGGGCAGAGCACTCTCTTCCCAACCTGATCTACCGATCAGCAACCCTTCTTGTGGCAGGGTTTGGAACTAGATGAATTTTGAGGCCCCTTCCAACCCAAGCCATTCTATGATTCCCTACTTAGAAAACTCCAAACCCAAAAGCTTCTTTCTGGCCTCCTGCTTGAGGCAGCAGGGAGTACCAGGGCAGTGCTCCGTGGCAAAGAGGCAATGTCAAGGCGTTCTTGGTCATGAGCCAGCTATTAATCTGCGTATTTTAGCAAAAACACATTTATTTCTTGAGGTTTGTGCACACAATGGAAGCAGGGAGTGCTGGGGCGGGGGCTGCAGGGGATTAGCTCTCTGTAAGCCGGGCACGCCAAGCTCCCGGCCCAGGGAGAGCTTAATTAAAGTTGAAGGAGAAGTGTTTCCAAGAAAATAATACAGGGTATTTAAATGGGATATTTTTGTTCTGGGCCCAGAATGTCTCCTTTCCCTCTCAGTGTTAGCTTTAATAAAACAAAATGAGATCTCCAAGAAAAACAAATTGGAGCTCTTTTAAAAGGCGCTGCGGAGATAAAAATCAGTAACACTGTTGCTGGTAACACCTTGGGTTATTAAAACGGAAAGAATGCTAACGATGCGATTTGCATCAG